GACATTGACTGTGTAATATATTTTTTCATTTTTTGGCCGTTAGTGTGGGTCCCTGAGAAAGGGTCCCTGTGCCCTGTCCCATTGCACGGTTAAATCCCCACCTGGTAAGCAAAGGACCCTTCGCATGAACTTGGCAGCCCAAAAGCAGAGAAAATTGGGTCCTGATTCCCATTTGGAATTCTCAAAGAAGACAGTTTGCAGAGTGTCCTATGACAATGTGGGACAATCCCAAGAAAAGGAACAGTGGTCACACCTAGATTGAGAGGGTCTGAGGTAGCCACCCTCCCTTCCCCTATCAGGATACTCTCCTTTTCTGGAAGTTTCCTGTGTAGGTTTCCTGGGACTGCTCAAGAAAGGTGCAGGTTGGCTGAGTGTGGGCTGGCAAACCTGAGATGGTCCCAAGGTCTGGGTTAAAACTGAAGACTTTTCTGATGATGCAGTAACTGGAGGTGTTTCAGAGTTCATGTAGCAGGGATTTGCCGACAGTATGGCTGTGTGGCCAGAGGCAACCAAAGGCTGACAGAGACAGCTCAGCCAGGGAAAAGCAGTTGTATGGATCCCATTAACAACGGACCTTCAGAAGTCTCTCCCCAAACTCCTTGACAGCATGTTAACCCTACTGCAATTTAGAATTTAGAATCCCCACACTTCCAGGAGGATGGCCAAGGCAAAGGGAAGTATGGTGACGTGACTATCAAGATGATAGTGAGCCCTGGCTGGTGTAGCTCAGTTGTTTGGCGTCATCCTGCAAACCTAAAGTTCATTGGTTCGATTCCCTGTTAGAGCATATGTCTGGGTTACAGGTTTGGTCCTGGTCAGGGGTGTCTATGGAAGACTGCCAAACACTGGAAATGATAGAGTTTAAACTAGAACTACATGAGTTTAGCTTGAGTTTACCCACATTTTATTCCCAAGTTAACAGATGTTAAATCAAGATTCCCCATCATATACTGTTAAAGTTGATTATTTGAACCTAACTACAAAACTTAATGAAATTTCAATCATTACAATGCCATTTGAGATCTTTTGAATTACAATTCAGCCGTTTCATACTTTAGCTTCAAGAGGTACTCATTTCATAATTTAAATATTTAGGTCTTTATTCAGACACAATCTTAATAAGATATTTCCTACCAAAAGACTCTTCCTATGCTCCCTCTTCACCATCAAAAATAAACACACATACACACACACAAAAAAAAAACACAGAAAAATTCTAAGTAGGCTTATTTACTTGTGGCAAGAGGAGAAATGGAAATAAGAAAATAATGTGATTTTTATTTTTAAAATTTAAGGATTTTAAGATTACTACAGAAATCAAATAAAAGCATATTCCTAATGTAGAACTACTGCCATCTTAAGGCCACAGCTGAGTATTACAAGTCAGCTTTTCATTCCATTTAGATAAATGGCTAGTATTCAATATTTAAATGATGTAGTGATTAATTTTTAGGCATTTGTATATGTCATCTTTTCCACATTTCTGAATAAACTTTATTGTTTCCCCTTAAACAAATTATATGGCCCAGAGAAGATGTGTAGATTGGCTGAGATGATATAAAAAGTTGAACATTACAATCTAGGAAAAGCACATTTTAATCTACTGAAAAATAAACAAGCCATTTTCCTCCACCACAAAATAACAATTTAGTAAATAACATTTACAATATAGGTGTTAGCATATGATACCATAAATCCACAAGAGACATTTACTGAGTTATTTTATTTTTCTAAATTTCTGTATTGTATTTTTTCCATTACCATTTAATCCCCTTATACCGCCTTTTCCCCAGCAACCACCATACTATTGTTCATGTCCGTGAGTCCTTTTTCCTTTTTGCTCAATCCCTGCACTCCACATGGTCAGTTTTTACTGACCATATTAGTCTGCTCAGACCACCTTAACAAATACCACAGACTGAGTGGCTTCAACAACGGAAAATTATTTTCTCCCAGTTCTGGAGTTTACAAGTCCATGATCATGGTGTCATTAAAACTGGTGTCTGCTAAACCTCTCTTCTGGGCTCACAGACTGCACCTTCTCCCTGCAGCCTCACGTGGCCTTTCCTGTGCATGTAGGTCTATCTGTGGTCTCTTCCTCTTCCGGCCTCTTCTAGCTGTATAAAATTAGCACCCCATTCTTACCACCTCAGTTAACCATACTTACTTCCTGAAACTCCCTCTTTCCAAATATAGTCACATGGGGGGGGTGCTTAGGCCTTCAACGTAGGGACTGGGGGGGGAACACATCACTCCATCCCCCTCAACATTTCTCCAACCTCCTCCCCTTTGGCAACCATAAGCTTTTTCTTTGTATCTGAGGGTCTGTTTCTGTTTTTTGTTTATTCATCAGTTTTGTTTTTTTAGATTCCACATATAAGTTGAATTCATGCAGTAGACACAGAGAGATATAGATATATAGACCACATCCTTATCCATTCATCTATCAATAAGCACCTACGTTGGCCATTGTTAAGTAATGCTACAAGGAACACAAGAGTGCATATACTTTTCAAATTGGTGTACTTGTTTTCTTTGGATAAATACCCAGAAGTGGAATTGCTGGGTATATGGCATCTCTATTTTTAATTTTGTGAGTAATCTCCATACTGTTTTCTGTAATGGCTGCACCAATTTACATCCCCACCAATAGTGCACAAGGGTTCATTTCCTCCACATCCTTACCGGCACTTGTTGTTTGTTGATTCATTGATGATTCAACAAACCATTGTGACAGGTGTGAGGTGATATCTCATTGTGGTTTTTAATTTGCATTTTTCTGATTAGTAATGTTGAGCATCTTTTCATATGCCTATTGGCCATCTGTCTGTGCTCTTCAGGGAAATGTCTATACAGGCTCTCTGTCCGTTTTTTAATTGGATTGTTTAGGGGATTCATTTTTGTTTTGTCTTGTTTTGTTTTGGTGTTAAGTTGTACCAGTTCTAGTATGTAATATATCACTCAAAGAAACAGAAATTAATTGGCATCTGAGTAGAACAATGAACTTTTGGTTGATAATGAAAGAGTTGTGGTACTGTATCAGTAAATGTGATAAAATACACAGGACAAAAAGGAAATATCTTTAGTTGAAAACAGCCTTATGACAGAAAGCGAATGTTTGTCATTAAATCCAGGGTTGTGTCGGGACCGGGGGAAGGGAGGGAAGCCATGTCACATGTTCTTAGAGGAGTTAGATGGAGATTTGAGGCACTGACCAGGAAAGGTGAGTGGAGCTCAAGGAGGAGTAAGATATTTCAGGATGATGAAATTTGATTATTTGCTAAATTGCCCCACAAAGTGTGAATGTCACTGATTCTCTAGCGCAAGAGTTCTCTGGATATGAGGAATAAAATATATGACAGTTGTTAACATGGCAAGTATATATGACTGTCCTTGACCGAGTCCAGGTCTGTCGGCCAACTGCAATCCCAGGACCACTTAAGTCATCAAAAACAATCCTTTGTGCTCTTCCCTCTAGCAGTAAAAGCGGTTGTACATTTACATTACTAAGTGAAATCCCTAACATGCCTGTTTCAATCATAAAACAAGATATCTTCAAGGAGGCTCATGGCCTTCAATGTGAAGTCTACCTGGAAATTGGACCTTGGCAGGTACTCTCCCACAGAGGGCAGAGAGGAGTGCTAAGGTCAACGCTATATAGCCAACAGACTCCTGAATAGGAAATAGGAACTAGCTATGAAATAATGTAACCTTTTCTCTTTTTATTCACAAACGTTAAAGACGTGGTTGTTGGGCTGTTATGAGTGAACAGTTCAATCCTCTTGAAGATTCTTTCCTATTCCTGTTCCAGAGAGATTTGTTTGGGGTTTTTAAGAGTTATAATGGAACAAGTTATCAATTTATTCTGATGGGTCCACTAGGTATAATGTGTCATACCAGACTGAACTATTTATTACACTAAATTAATCCCTTGATTGGTTTATGAACCTCATAAGAATTAGTGTTTCTAAGAGTTAAACATAAAATTCTAATCAATTATATTTTTATTATATCATGACTAGTCATTTTTTCCCACTGGACAAAGAGTTCCTTCAAATTTAAAACAGAAGCAACACAATAATAGATATATGTGTTCTTTTTAATAAGGAAATTTGTATTTTCTCTTTTAAATGATTTTAAGTCCTAGCCCTTCATATTCAGCGGTTTTCAGAGAGAATTAAATGCCGGGAGGATTCATTGCACGTAATGGATTAACTTTTCTCCTATGCATATAAAAGGATACTAGTTATAAACAGTCCTGGAGAATTGAGAAAATTGTCGCTCAAATCATTAAAACCTTAAAACCTTCTGTTTGCCTAAAGTTCTCTCGGCTGCAGTATATTCTGTGAAGTTTCTGGTGTCCTTTCATAGAAATATTCATTACAATAAAGAATAGGATAATCAAATAACTACACCAATATTGGTTTCCTTAATCAATGTCATTTTCTAAGGTGCTCCAGGGAGTGAAATGTGAAAAGTGTTCCTTTTACTACTTAGAAATATACTTAGGAATTTACTATGGAATATAAAGTTTTTGATTCAACACATAGTCTCGTGGGCGAGAAAAATCTTCCACATCCTAGGCTAGTATAGTCAGAGGAACATTAATAGATAAAACTGTCACCACAGTCTTACAAGGTCAGGTCTAACTTTACAATTTCCTCATTTCCCTGGCGCCTTCAAAACGAAGCGAAGCCCTGGTTAATTTCGGGGCAAGAGCTAACAGCCAACAGGGCTTAGCCGCGCCCTCGGTCGCCGCCGTAGTGGCTCAGCTCCAGGTCGCATCCTGCTCTGGGGAATCCCGGCGTCCGGAGCCCACTGGCAGAATCAGCCAGGTGAATGACAGCAAACTGGCCCGGCACAGGGGTGGGAAAGCCGGACGCGTGAGGGGCGGGGAGAAGCGTGCCCAGGGGCGGTGCTCCCCGGCGCGGGAAGCGCGAAAGGTTGCCACGCCACGTCCCGGGGGCGGGCGCAGCCCCGCCCCACCCCGCCCTCCCCACCGCGTCCTGCCGGGTCCTGTCCCGCAGCGTCCGGCCCGTGCGCTGTGCGCTGTTTGTCTCTGCCCTGGAGTAGGCGCTGGCCGGTGCTCCCAGCGCAGCTATGGCTCAGCACTTCTCCCTGGCCGCCGGCGACGTGGTCGGCTTCGACCTGGACCACACTCTGTGTCGCTACAACCTGCCCGAGAGCGCCCCGGTGAGTGGCGCGGGATGTCCAGGGCGCTCGGATTGCTCTCCGTAGCGGCTGAGGCTGGCGTTTCCTCCCGGCTTAGGCGGCGGCGAGCACTGCCGGGGCCTGTGGCCACGGTGTCGGCGCAGAAGTCGGCCTCCCACCGCGAGGTGGGGGACAGTGTGCATCTCTGGTTCTCGTCCCATGCGTGGGACATGGACTTATTGAGACCGGCCAGAATGTCACGTTTGAGACTGGGTTACTCAAGAAAAGGGCGGAAGGAAGGACAAAATGTTCAAGATCGAGCTGGGGAAATGGTTCTTAAGCACAGGAAGGGCGGAGCTAGAGCTGTCCCCGCAGATCCCAGGCCTTGGAACTTCTCTGCGAGTCCTTTGGGGCAAGCAGTGCGCCTCCACAGCCACCAGGTCAAGGGCTTGTGTTTTCCCCGGCAGCATTTTTCCTCTTGCACATCCATGCGACCACCTGTCAGTTTTTAAACAGCTAAGGCAGGGAAAGATTGTGAATTGGAAGGAACACTAGCCAAAAGCCATTTAAGATATCTTAGCCCTAGTTTTGCCTTTTACCAAAAGAAGAAAATACCATTTTCTCCATCCACCTTTAATAAGTGTAATCCTAACAATGGCCTGCAAAGTTTGGGTCTTCCCTGTGCTTTGGAAGGACGGGAAAGTGGAGTATGTACGATGCCACACCTGTACCCTCAAATTAATTGTTCTCCCCCACCCCTCATTCCTTTGGTTTCACAAGAAAACATTGTGAGAAATTAGCAGGTTCTTATTTTTTGGGTCAAAGATATACGCATCCAAACAGAAAAGAGTGATTATGAACACAGTGGTCAAAGTGAGGAGTCCAAGGTCAGTCTGCCTAGCTTAGGGCACCAGCCCCTCTGTTACTAGTCCTGTGACCTTGGGCATATCACTCAACCCACGTCTATTCTCAGTTTTCCCATTTGTAAAGTGGGGCTAATAATTGGATTTATTTCAAAAGATTGTTACAAGCATTAGACAGGTAATAGATGTATAATGCAGTGTTTGGCAGGTGCAAGTACTGTATTTGCTTTTACAGTCGGCACCCAAACCATTTTGAAGCCTCACCGTTTTTGAGTGGTGCTCTAGGCCATGGGTGCAGACAGCCCCAGGCTCCTCATTATGGCAAAGGCAGTGCTCCCATCGGCAGCTGAGGTACCCAATCAGAGGTCAAAAAAGTATCAGAATCACTCATTTTCTATGCACAGAAGCTAAAAAAAGTGAGTGTACTGTTCCTGCTCTTATACTTTTCTGCTTTCCTGTTGTACAGACGTTGCCTTAGCTATGTTGAGAGTTAAGAAGGCTTTTCTTTACTTCTTGATCCTTTGGCCGCTACTTTGATTCATATTTTTTCCCCCTCTGTGTCTTTAAAATTTCCTCCTGGCTCACGTTTTCTGCATCTCCTCTAGTCACCTTCATTTCAAAGAAATATTGTTAAAAACCACTGTCATGTTACAGCTAAATTTAAGCATGTGTAAGCACAAGGTTTCAGAATACAAGATCCTTGAAGGCAAGAATTCTTGACTACAAGCCTCAGTATATGTGATGTTTAAAGGTTGAAACAGTAACCTGTTGTGCTTTGGATCCAGTTTGGTTCATAAATTTTTAAGTACCTGCAGTGTGCTGAGCACCTTAATAGAGTTGGGGACACTGAGATAGCACACAGGCCTTCAGATGGCCTTAGATGGGACTGAGTTGCTGAAAGGTTAGTTCCGGTCCACTGTGAGGAGGGCTGTATTGCCTGGACCTTGCAGCTGGCTCTTTGTTCCCTGTGCCTGGGGCCCCCCTCCCTTCATCACACTGACTTCTCATATGTCAGGTCTCATCTTAGATAGCATTCCCTTTTCAAGGCCTTTCCTAGCCCTCTAAACTTGACCCTTTCTCCTCTCTCCAACCTCCAGTTTTCCATAAAATCCTTAATTTCTCATAACACTTACACACGGTATTGCATTTTCCTGTTTACTTCTTGGAACCTCCAAGACCCTGGAGCCATGACTCCTTGACAGGGTCATGTCTGGCAGTTTATTGTGTGTTCTGCATGCCTGGCAAATAGCAGGTCTGTTAGATAATTGTAGGATGCATAGGTAGATAATAGGTATTTTAATAACCAAATATGGCACTTAGAGCCACTATTCTAAAAGCATTCTGCTTCGAACGTGTTTGATTCATACCTCAGCCCTGTGATTATCATCACAGTTGCTGTTTGGTGGTGAGGAAAGCAAGGCACAGAAAGGACAAGGGGCTTATCCAGGGTCAACCAGAAGGCAAAGAGGCTTGTTGGGTACTGACCCCACCACCATGCTTTTTTGTGTCCTGTAACCTCAGAGGAGAGGCTGGGATGAGAGATGGAAGTGCAGAGTGTTGTGCAAATATGGAGCTGGATGTGTCCCCTCCCCTGGGGTCTCAGGAAGGCCATCCGAAAAGAGACCCCTGTGCTCTCCTGTGGTTGCAGACTCAGAAGTGCATGGAGCCAGGCAGTTAACCTAAGTGCGTGAGTGCGAGAGAGGGCCAGTGGGCTCTGGGAGAGTGTGTGCCCCTTCTGCAGACACAGCCACACTTGACTCCTGCCTGTGTTTGTCATGAGTGATGCCTCAGTCTTGCCAGACTTAATTCTCTAAAAGAAAAAATTAGAAACCTAAACTGTATGAGAAGCCTTTCAATTTTTAAATGTTAGGTCATTTTCAAACAGCAGTATTTTGTCAAAGAAACATACAGAATACCCAGTTAAATATGAATTTCAAATAACAAAAACATTTTTAGTATACATATGTCCCAGACACGTCATGGGATGTGCTTATATTGAAAAAGTATTTGTTGTTTATCTGAAAATCAAATTTAGCTAGGTATTTCATAATTTTATCTGGCATCTTGAGTTAGGAACCAAACATACTTCAGGCTCTGCGTATGGCCGACAGGGCACCAACTTGCAGCCACTGTAGAGTGTGTACTGTTGCTCAAGTGAGACCGTGAGGGAGTCTGGCAGCTGAGCCCCAAGAGGAAGGAAGCTGGCGGTGGAGGTCCTGTGCCATGCAAGCCTCTCGGGAGACTCAGTATCATGTAGGGAAAAGCTTCAAGAACTGAGGCCTTGGGACTAGAACGGGGTGTTCAAAGGCACAGAGTCCCCTGCTTTTCTCAGCACCCGTTTCTCTGATTCTCGTTGCACACTGACCCCATTCTCTCCTGTTACAGAAGTGTTTCCTCCGAGAGGGAAGAAACACAGCTATGGACAGCCCCATTGGCAGCCCTTCTAGAAAGGGCTCCTTTGTCTCAAGAAGGAATCTGACCCCATTGGAATCATAGGCCCAAGTCTTAATCAATATTGCCCAGCGGGTGAGAAACTCCAGTTGCCCAAAGCTGAAAAAAATGCTTTGACCAGAGGCAGGTCTAGTAATGTACAGCAACCATCGCTAGCTGGAAACTGGCCAGGGTGGGAGTATTTATATCACGAAAATGGGCAGAGGCTACAAGTGAGGGCCCTTTTTTAAAACCAGCACATGACTGATAATAGTAATACTTACCTTGAATTTACTTGTTTGCCAGGTATGGCTCTAAGCTCTTTACGTCTGTTAATCTCATGACACTGGTTCCTTGCAGGCAGGAGTGTGTGTGTGTGTGTGTGTGTGTGTGTGTGTGTGTGTGTTTTATTGTCCCTAGAATGTTGCACTTCAGAATAACTCAGCACATTTTGATTGATTTTTTAAATGATTGAGTAGAAATCTATATAACATATAAATCAGTAGTGTGCAGATATCCCTGGGCTTCAGGAATCCTGCAGGGGCCCCATCTGGGCTTCCCACTGTCCAGATTGGAATTTCTGGTGGTTTTAAGAACCATCACTTGTAGTTCTGAATCACCAGCAGGGTTGAAAACTACTGATACATAGTGTTGGTGTAATGTGCATCTGTGACAATTGACTTGGATCAAAGTTCTTTGCATTGCATTGGGGGTGCATTTGTAGTGACTTTAATTAGCCTTGCGGCACAGAGCAACTCTGTTTGACCAGGAACCTTTGCTTTCTCCACACTCATCTCCTGACACTCATACCCTAGCCCCCTCCCCTCTGGACTCACCTGGCTAAGTGCTGCTCTCGCAGGTGTCAGTGTAAACAGCACCATCTCAGGGAGGCCTTCTCCCACTCCTTTGGCTGTGTCTATACCTGCTTCCCCCTTGTGCTGTCCCACGCTATCTAACCTGTCTTGGTTTAGAAGGGGCAGGTTGCTCAGTGTGCCCTCCTAGGCACTTAAGTCTGACCCAAGACCACGGTTCTGCCTCAGGTTCAAGTGTATGCGATACAGGCCTTAGAACACTCCCTCAAGGAGAATAGGGTGGAGCTGATGTAAACCTTCATCTCCCTTTTGCCTGCTTTTTGTTTGGCATGCACAGTTATTAAAACATTGAGCCAGCTCTTCACAAACAAAACAAAACATTTCACTTAAAAAGCTGGGATTTTGTTGTTAAGAAATCAGATCTGTCAACAAATCAGCAAAGCATTAATCTTTGTGCTTGCTTCCCTTCCATTGTCCTTTTTCCTCAGTTTTTCTTAAAGTGGAAGAATAAGAGATATTTTCTGTATCTGATGGAGGCTGCATGGTTCCTCCTTTGGATCACCTGCCTAGTGCCCATGTATATTTCTCTTTGAGACTCCTTTGTGGCAAATGACAAAACTGAAACAAGTAACCAGTTTGATGCCCTATATTCAAGGGAAAACAATCCATGGATTACAGGAGTACAGTGTCTAACCAGCAGTGGACCATTCCCCGGGAGGACTTTGGGAAAGAGTGAGTTTTATAGAGCATTAGAAGAGGCAACGCTGAAAGAGAACGTGATTGGCTAGGAGGTCAGGGATTTCTCAGGAGCCGGGAAGGTCCTGTTTCTGAGGGTGAGGTGAGCTAAACCTGAGTTGGAGGATTGTGAGTGGTGTGTGCTGGGTGTCCTTGACAGATATTCTCCTGAAGGTGATTTAGCTTCGCATCTGTGACCTGGTCTGGGGCCAAGGGCAGCCTCCATTCTGTGGGTCCAGATATCTGAATGAACTTATCACCTGAGGTGGGAACTTTCTAGCAAGGACAGATCAAGGATAGATGTAATGTTAAGGCGGTCAGTATGTTTATCACCTTGGTCATGTGTTAGATAAGTTTACAAAGCTTTGCCAAGTCTTAATGATCTCCAGCTCTTTAGAATTCAGGAGTAAGATGAATAACTGTCCTTGGTTGTATAATTGTATACTGATGGTGGTATATAATTTGGGAGAATAAAAAAGGCACTACAGGTACCTGGGGCTCGGCTCACAGGGGTGGTTAAATTGCTTGTGAAGGAGATTACACGGAAAAGCTGTATAATTACAGATCTTGCCTCCCGTACCTGCCCTGTGACTGATTCCATCAGGTCTTCATGTCTGGGCAATTAAGTATGAATAGTGAAGTTTATATCTAACCTCTCTTTTTCCTTTCCCCGTATCTGCTACAGCTCATTTATAATAGCTTTGCAGAGTTCCTGGTCAAGGAGAAAGGATATGACAAGGAATTGCTCACTGTGACTCCAGAGGACTGGGATTTCTGGTAGGTTCTTTAAAGTTCGCACTTTCCTTCTGCTTTTTAATTGCTGTTGATAAAATGTTAATGCTTCCTCTTCTGCGGAGGCAGAAAGTGAAATGTGAAATTGGGTCAAAGGACAAAGTGCTTTCTCTATGAAAAGTTTTACGTTTAATGATTTAAAATCCTCTGGTCTGGCCTGGTGGCTCGGGCGGAGTGTCATCCTGTCCGCCAGAAGTTGTGGGTTTGATCCCCTGGTGTGGCACTACCAGAGGCAACTGATGGATGGATGTTTCTCTCTCACATTGATCTCTCTCTCTCTCCCCCCTCTCCTCCCCACCTTCTTCCCCACTCTCTCCCCCGTTCCTCTCTCAAAAATCAATTAACATAACGGGTGAAAGTTTAAAACAAAAAAATCCTTTCTACATTTAGACTTCGTTAATTAAACATGCAAACAAGCTCAGAGGATATGCTACTACCTTGGACACCTGGTTAAGTTTGTTGTTATTAAGAGTCTCAGAGGTCTTAAGAACTCTCTAAAATTTGCATCAAAAAGTTTTGTTTTATTGCCCTTCAGATACAGAAGTCATCATGTTTGGAATGAGTATCTGAATTCGGACATTTGGCTTTTTGTAATTTGGACAGACATTCCTTTGTCTAAGACTCTTTCTAGGTATTTCCTTCCTGGGTGAGGATTCTCAACTTCCCGCAGCGCCCTTTGTCTTGTCTTCTTCACCTGAATAACAAAACCAAACAAAATTCTGTTAAACTACTGTAAATTGTTCAGTTGAAAATTAATAGTCATACTAAATCACATGAAAAATACATGCAGAAATAATTCTAGAGCAATGGTGTTCACCTATTATGTGTTCCTCCAGTGTTTGGTTAGTGCCTTTTGGTTTATCCCTTTTGTGAAATGAAGAAACAGACATTTTACTGTATGAAACTGCTGACTCTGGAAGTTTTGCTGTGGACCAAAGTAAATAGTGTTTCTAAAGTGCCCTGTCACTTTTGTTTAATTCTCTTGGTATTTGGTGGCCATTGCACCTCTTTGCTTTTCTTATTTATAATAATGACTCTGTACCCATGTTTCTCCCCAAATCCCACAAGTCTTTTACAGTGAAGAACCTAAAACTTAATATTTGCCTTTCTTTTAGATGTTTTCAATAATGTACCTTACCCAGAGGGCTAGTTTTATAACCTGGCCTAAAGTGAAGCAAATTTTAATGAATAAGAAAAAACTGGCTAACATGTTCACTTGCAGAATATGAGTGTGTGTTATGCAATGGGAAACATTTTCACCTTTTAACATAGACATGCAATGATGTTCATTTTGGTTCTCTTTGAGTTTTTTATTTCTCTTTTTAAAAGCTTAGGGATTTTGGAAAAGGAACATGCTGTCCTTCCTTTGCTCACATAACAGTTTTCTTTATGTACTTGCTCCAGATGACATTTAATTTTAGAGTTCTTAGATCTTTTTTCGATTGTTTTCTTACTGTTGTTAGAATACAGTGGTCTCCATTTTCCCACCACCACTTTCCCCCGCCCCACGCACCCCCACCCTTAATCCTACCCTCCAGTTCTTGGATATTCTTAACTGTTTGGTTAACATATCACTCGCCTGGGTGGGAGACTGCCCTTTTTGAATTGTGACTTTTTGAAGAGATAGGTTATTTCTTGAGTTAGGTAAATATGTGAATTGATTGGTAACCAACCACTTCTATTTTAGTTGCAAGGGCTTGGCATTGGATCTGGAAGATGGGAACTTCATTAAACTTGCAGATAATGGCACTGTTCTCAGGTAATAAAATTTAGTTGTGAAGTCAAAACTTCACTCTTTTCAAGACACTTTATTTCTTTACAGCAGTTCATTGTTAAGGTGTGGTTAAATAATAATTTCAGTCTATCAGATGACAGACTCTCTGTGTGCCTGCAAGTCTCTGAATCCTTTGAACATTTAAATACAAATCCTAAGCATTAGACTTAAACATCTAGTTTCTTTAAATTTAGCTCATCAGAGCTATTTGCAGGAAATATGATAAAATGTTAATAACTTGCCTCCTGCCATTGGCCATCCCTACTGCAAAAGAGCCTTGGAGTTCCATTGTGTGAGGTGGGTGTGCAGAGAGATACCTGGGGTAAAATCGGAATTCTTTTTATTAAGGTAGAGGGAGAGAATGGATGTTGGCTGGGAGTTGGTGCTCTGTGCACACCTGTCTCTCTTTCTCCACTTATGCAAATTCGCCCCCATCATGCAGGATTCATGTTGTGTCCCAGCTCCTTCTGGAAGTTTTTTTAGACTCTTCAGATTGTCATCAGTCTCTCTTGCACTCAGTGCTCACTCCCTTTCCTTCCCTCCTCTCAGGGTGAGTCCAGCCCTTTGAGGAATGGTAAAAGCAGGGCAAGCAATGGAGAAGCAGCTGCTGCCGCTGCTCTGAGTCTTACAGAGAGCATCACGGAGTGAGCATCTATTTTTTACCCCCAAACTGATAGTACAGGCAAGTAAACATGGCCACACAGCTGTGTGATTTATTATTTATACTAATTGCCCAAGGAGAGCAGGATCAAGCAGGTTCCTTCTAACATACACTCTCCTTTTTGATACATCATTCTTTTTGGTGCAGTATAAACTCACGCTCTCCCCCAGAGCTTCCCCTAAGATGTAGCTAGCTGCAGCTGCTGGTGTGGCCCACTTCGGATTATTTTGGTATTCACTTGCATGTTTTTCCCTGGGCAAAAACAGGTAGAGTGCATGTATGCGCATATATATAGATATATATATATCCTCCTACATACACAGTGCAGCTTTGACCGTGACCTTTAACTCTGCTGTCATATTATTACAAGGCACTTATCTATCTTAAATCCTGGGTTAAAGAATGGAAAGCATTCCACAGTTTTGCTTCTTTCTTTCATTGTTATGTCTGTCTCCCCTTCTCCCAGCACCCCTCCTGCAAGGTCTGACCCTCTCCATTCAAGTCCTAGCTAACACGCCACTTCTCCTGAATTTATTAGTTTATTATCTCCCTGATGCCTGCTTTCATCAAATACAGTAGCTTCCTTGTCTGATCGTATTTCTCACTCAGGGATCCTCTATCTCTACATGTCACTTTCTAAGACATTAACCTCTTTATGAAAAGGAAAATGTTTGTGATTTTCCTCCATTTGCCCCTTTAATTACATTTCTTTTTTCTTTCATTTGCTTTGTTATGACAATATAGCACCAGGGGAAAATGATGATACTGGCTGGCACGATCATGTCTCATAAACTACATAAAACATCAGCTGTTTCTCTGTTGGCTGAGAGTCCTTAATCAGGACCAGCTGATGCAAGAGCAATATTGTGAGTGCAGAAAGTAGCTACACCCTTTCTTGCTATATTAAGTTTTGTCACATTGATCTCGCTGTCATCCTTTGTGTTTCTAGCCATGGCATGTCATTGAATGGGCAGGCTGCTCGCCCATCTTCACAGTCTCCTGTGCCCATGAGCTGGCTACCCCCAGGTGCCTCCCACCTCTCCTGCAGATCCAGCACTGCTCACACGCTAACTCGGCTACCTGCCGCTCTTCCTCTCCTGCTCCCAGACCCAGTCCACACGGTTGTTTTTTAATTCTTCCAGTTAGGTTAATCTTCACAGTTATACAACAGCGTCTTAGGAAACGGTATTGTCCTGCTCCTTCCAGAGAGATGATAGTTTATAGTTTTTACCTTATAGGTCCACAGCAGTGACCACAATGTGGACCTCAGTAAGCTGCTCCTCCCAATTACTTGCTAGTTGGTAGATAAAATGGAAGAAGAGCTAGAGCTGTCAAGGAAAACGCTGTATAGATTCCTAAATGGTGAAGGCATCCCAGTGAAAACAGAAACAAAAAGAAACTTTTGTTAATTTTAGGGGAGATCGACAATAGCAAGGCTGGAGGAAGGGGCGTTCAAGGGCGCCATTGCTGAGCATTGTGCCTCATCTCCCAAATCCAGGGCAAGCCACGGCACAAGGATGATGGCTCCTGAGGAGCTGGCCAAGGAGTATGGCAGGAAGGAGTGGAAGTACTTCATGTCTGACACTGGAATGGCTTGCCGCTCAGGTATGGCTCACACGGGCAGCACTGCCGTTCCCTCCCCTTTTGTCTTGGACTCTGGGCCTGCTGCATGAGGACGTGAAGAAGGCCTCTCTTGCATCCTGCTCGGTTTTATAAAAATAGGATATATGTTTCTTCCACACGTGTCTGATTTCTCTTTGGCATTTGGTCCTGTTTTGGTTAAGATTTTCTTGATACTCCTTTTTCTAGCACTTGTTCTGGGGGAAAAAAACTAGCATTTAGGAATAATACCTTCCTTAGTCATCTGTATTTTTATCAGTTTGTTACAGGCTCAATCCTCATTTTTATTTCTCCACCCCCCATTTCTCTTTATATTCATACCACCTACCTCTCCTGTTTTCTGGAATTCCTCTCTGTACTGCCAGTTCCAGTATCTTTTCCCTTCACCTTTCTTTTTCTTTATTTGAAATGATTTTACACATTTCTTTCTAGTCTTTAAAGAGCTTCACCATGGCTACACATGAAGATAGTTTTCAAAAATTATATACAGACATGGATGTGCATAAAGTAATGGGAAATGATTAAAATTTTGTTATAAACAGACCTTATTAAAAGTTATAATTGTCAGGGTTTTTTTTCTAATTTTTCTTGCCATTTTCCCATACACTACATAGTTTCAAAATGTATCTGTTCTGCTCTAGAGAATGTAATGCCCTGAAAGTAGTTGGAGTCCCTGCTTGCCCTGATTGTTTCCTTTGTTTGTTACATTTGCTGTCTTCTGAGAGTTTTGTTTTGTTTTTGTAGAGAGATGAAAATGTCAGGAAGTATGAGCACTCTTGATAAAGTAAGTTGATAGGAAACACTAGACTTCCCATTGGGGTTAGATTTAGAATGTTTTCGCACATCCCAACTCAAAATAACCAGCAGCAGTTAAATGGGTGGACAGCCTTTTACTCAGTGAGGATAGAGAGCTGTTGTCTCTCTGGATGTAGGCGATTGTAAATAACTACGAAAAGCTAGGCACACAGCTACATTTCTGATACCCATTCAGAAACAGGGAGTGTTTTAGAGAACAAAGTATTCCCCAGCCATGAAAAGAACATTCGCCCAACTGACCCAGCTGCTTACTACTACTCCACCCCTTCTCCAGTAAAATCCGCAGCTTCCCTTTGGTGCTGAATTTACCCAGGGTCGTCTGAGCTTGGCCTTGAAGGTTATTTGCTCTTAACTGGATCGGTCAGGGAACTGTTTCCCTTGCAGGTGCCCAGGGGCCAGGCAGTGATATAACAGAGGCCTGTGGTGTGGAGCGCTTCATGGAACTCCAGTATTGGGTTGTTTCTTTTGAAATTCAGGGACATTAATAGCACAAACTGTGGCTTCTTCCTAATCCACTTTATATTTGGGATATAGCCCCTTTTTGGTCTAAAAATATAACTTAAATATTTTTTGATAAAATGCTTAATTTATGCATATTATATTCTAACTTTCTTGAAGCACCCTCATAGCTTAAACCTTTGAAAGATGATGGTAGCCTGTCAATGGAGCCATTCTGAATTGAAATGGAGGCTCCTTTAACTTTACTACACCAAAATCTTGTGTCTCTTCAGCCAGATTTCTGTGCATGCCCCATAAAGGTGGCAATAATTTGTTCCCAGTTTAAATTTTTGTTCTTTTTTTAGGAAAATACTATATTTATGATAACTACTTTGACCTGCCAGGAGCTCTTCTGTGTGCCAGAGTGGTGGATTCCTTAACAAAGGTGAAAACTCTGTTATTTTTTTAGAAAGCTGTGATATATATATACTTAGTCATAAATCAGAGCACTTAATTATATATGTCTTTTGAATTGAGATTTTACTCAGTTTCTTCTTTGTGGTTTCAGAAGTGACTGAGGAAGAAAAACAGAATTTGGCCAAAACGTTTTGGAAAATTAAAGCAGTGACCACTTTTTCCCCTTAAGGATAATACACCTCTTCTCCAGCAGGGGGTGCAAAAGTCTGGAGAAAAACACAGAACTTGGCATCTGCATAAATTCTTAATTGGGCAGGTTATGGTTGGTCAACAAGCTTCAGGCAGGTGTCTTTAGCAAAAGATTTATCTTTGCCTTAAGCAATCCCTGTCTGTTTGTTTCTGTGCCTCTAGATTAACATGCCTTTGAAATAAACTATGACCACTCACGAGAGAGTCCATAATCCTGTTAACTCCCCTGTAATCTGATCCCCGTCTTGCTTTCTCCCACCTCCAGGTAGTCTTCCTTCTTTCCTCCCTGATTTCAATGCATAAAGGAAGCTGCAAAACCATTATTCTGCAGAGCATTTGTGATCTTGCCCCCCTGCATGTGTCACCAGTTTCACTCAAATTATAAAATTATCTCATAAAAATTATCTTTATGTTTGAACATTCTTACATTAACATCTTTATCTTCAATGTCTACAATGTGACTTTAACTCTGTATTTTCCACTAATTGGTCCCATGTGCCAGCAAAAAAATTTCATGCCTGGTCCCTGCCTCAGTCTTCTGTGGCACAAATACACACACCCATTTAAAATTTCATGTTTTGAAGGTTGGGTCAGAAACAATGTGCCTAAACCTCTATTTGCCTCTTCAGAAAATGTAGTCCAGTTATAAAATAGAAGCTCACTGCTTTTAAATAAAGCAAAGGAATACAAGTGTTTAACCTTGCTTTCAACTTGTAGAATTGTCATAGAAAAAACTACAAAGAAAATATACAAAATTATTGATGCCAGTTCAATAAATGCAAACTTTTTTTAAAGCAAAAAAAAAAAAAACCCTTGCATCTGGTAAAAATATTTTCTTTGCTTTAGAATAGAATAAAAAAGTAAAATAATTAAGAAACTCTACATATCTTTAAGCATTCTAAATAATGTAAAACCAAAAAATGAGATGAAATGTTTAAATCCATCATTTTGAGTATAACTTAATGCATGTACACTTTTTTGTAATGTGTATCAAAATTAGATTTCTGGTCATGCCAGTTTATAGTTAGAGTTTAATACCTATGAACATAGCTGGTTTTACATCAGAATCACTTTTTGCATGTTATCTTTTAAAATCACAATGGTCATGTTTATAATAAAACATAGGTAATGGGTTTTTTTACTCAGAATTATAGTCCTAGGTTTATTCAAGTTTTAGTGGAGCAATAGTTCTGGTATTTTTGTAGAAATTATTATTGACATGAGATAGAGTCAGTTCCTCATTTTATAGTGACTACTAGCAAATTTATCAGTCCTTAAATATTTCAGAATTTTTATAATGGGTACCAATAACTAGTAGTTAGTCTTTGTTTAGATGGAAACACTGCTTAATATTTCCAAGGAAGCAAAAGTTTGTAGGATTGTGTGTTTTAATGGAATGTTTATTTGCTTTCTGGTTTAAAAAAAAAACTCAGTAAAAATGGTTTACATTCTGGATTTGGAACCTCCTTCGTGCCTCCTCTAGAGACTTGCTACTCTTTTATACTAAAATTTAGGCAAGTGTGCACTGAATTCTAAAGTAACAAGCTTTTCAGACTTTGAAGGTTGCAGGCCTCTTGGCCACGTTGATACCATAGAACACAAAGTAACACATTCTGATATGTCAGAGGCTGTAAATTTACTCAGGTGTTTAAAATGTTCTATAATTTTCATACTTTCTAATGAGTGGAGTTTTTTATTTCGAGTTATATGAGCTACATTAATATTTAGTCGTGTGTGTGCATATATATTATTTTTGTAGCGGTGATTTTCATGGAAGTGATTTCTTTTTAAAATCATGTTTAGAAGAATGAGAATTTTATTAACCCATTATGTTTTCTAAAACATGAGTCCCTATTGCAGAATACAGTAATGTAATTATTTGCCAAGTATTTTATATTGTTAAAAACAATTATTGCATGTGTTACAGTTGGAAATTTATTTTATTTTTTAGCAGCACAATGGTCAGAAAACATTTGATTTTTGGAAGGATATAGTGGCTGGTATACAACACAATTATAAGATGTCAGCTTTTAAAGGTGAGTAATGGAAAGATTTTCTCACAGATGTTTGTTAAATGCTATGTGTTTAGTGAATTACATAGCTGTTACCTATATATCTACTTAATTTGGGACTTGACTTGATCCTAAATATCACTATAAAGTGGGTACCATTTACATTTTAAGAGATTCTGTTGTGTATGTCCGTTTCATACCCATAATTGCGCGTGTTCTGAGCTGTACCGTCTTTTGCGTACCTGTGAATGGGGTCATGTTGTCTGTTTCCCAGAACTGCAGTTCTAGTTTCACTGTTCCCTGGCTCAGGAATGAGAGTCGGTGACACCTGTGACCATTAGTGTAGTTACAGACAGTTGGGAAAAGTGGAAATTCCATTCTTTTTGCTTAAAACACAGGACTGGCTGACCCAGAACAGGGGCAGAGATATCACCAACCCGAGCCTACGGTTTCATGGTTCTAGTCACAGGTTCACCTGGGTGACACAGATTACTTCTAAGGAGCAGAGAGGTGCCTTTGTAGTGTGCTACCCCAGTGACCTCGACCAGACTGTCCTGGTTCAGCCAGCGGGGCTGATGGATGCTCACGAGCAGTATTTTTCAGCTTAGAAAAATGTTGCTTTTTGACTGACTTAAAAATTGCTTGCCTTCCTTTTAAAGTAATTTAAGCCGTCAAAATAATCCTAAATAGTATGACTAAAAAATATAAGAAGGCAACAAATAGCCACTGAAGAATATTTGTTGAAATAACATACTCGTCTACCACCTGCTTCCTTCCTTCCCAGAAGAAAAGCACTGCCGTGGGGGTGCAGTGATTTTCTCTCCCAGCCACCAGCCCTGCACCCCTGCTCATAGGTCACATGTGGTTCTGAAGGCGCCGTTTCCCAGGGTCCCCTGGGTGTGTGGGAATGCCCATCTCCAATGGAGAGGCACCTATATCAATGACAACTGCGAAGCCACCCACCACATTATTGTTTTACCTCTTATGAGCTTTGTAAAGTGAAAAGCCTCAAAAGAATGGTGGAGAATTGCAAATTGCTACTGTCAAATAAATTTCACCCAAAAATCTGTTGATGTTATTTTATTGCATTGAAAATAAGTAGGAAAAACATTTCGTGCTTTAATAAGTGAGGCACAGCTTATAAGTTTTAAACAGCAATATAAAAATACAGTACAGAGCATAAATAAATAATATCTTTTCAGTTCTGGGCAATTTTTGAAACCCTTGACATTACTTATTATTTCACTGGAATGGGAGGCACAGGTACATACTGTAAACCCACAAAGTCATATGACATAAAACTCAAGGGAATTAAATCAAATGAATCACACTTGTGTTAAATAAACACAATAGGTGAGGCACCTGCTTCCAAGTTGTGAAGGGTGTATAGAAAGCTTCTCTGCAGTCACAGAAAAGTTTGGAAAGGCTCATGACTAAAGCACCGTGGTTGCATTTCAGGTTAATTTTAACATAATATTTTTTATTTTTTATGAGAGTCATAAAAAGTCTGTATGCACCTCTATATTTGAATAGATATTGACGCACGTGGCCGTGTAAGCCTTGAGTAATGCACCATCTGAAAGATCCTACGGTATAATATGTCTTTTAAATTTGAATATTCAAGTATTTAAGTTTTATACAGATATGATACCTCCTTAATGTTTCCTAGAAGTTCTGATAATTGTTAGAATCAGGCAAATGCTGAGATTCTAAAATCAAATTTATCATAACAGCATCACCGATCAGGGTTGTTTGTGATCATTTTACATTTTAGCTTAGTAGGGCTTTTGTGGTGAAATTTTTCAGTACTGAAGGACTTCACAGAAAACTTTAAAGAGTCTTAGGATTGCTGATTAGAAATTTGAGAGGGTCTTCACGTATTTTTTACCATTGCCACTTGCTTTTTCAGAGGGAAAATTGGTTGGTCTGAAAGCTCATATCTGTATTTTGGAAGATTAAAATGAGCGACATCGTTTTCAGCCTACCTCCATGTGCATTTGGTGGGGCGGGGTGAAGTTGGGGGACGCCTTTTCAAGCAGATTTAGTTTAGCTTGGTGGGAACGTGCTCACATCGGAGCCACTAAAAATCCTGAGAAGGAGGAGTGGACGTACTCAGAGGAGTACAGGCCATTGGACTCGGCGTTGGGCAGTTGGAGCCACACCTGGTCATTTTCCGTGAGATCGACTATGGCACTGCCTGAAGCCTGGTCCAGGTAGCCTTTGGCATATTCATCATACGTGTACATTATAGGGGTGCCATTCTTATACAGACCTACCCAAACATGGGTCCCTTTGACATGCACGTGGTAGGAGAAATAGTATATTCCGGGTATCCTGCAGGTGAAAATTCCAGTTCTTGGGTCATAATGCTGTTGCCTGTTATACAGAATCTTATCAAATGGGATGGGAGCTCCTATAGCTGGGTAAGCTTTAGAGAGAATAACAGTGAAAGCAGACACTGGCATTCCTGTCACACCCTGGCTGGCACTAACAAGAGGCCTTTGGCCTGCCTTTATAGAGCCCTCAGGAAGGACTGCTTGGCCTGGGGGTCCTGGGGGGCCTGGGGGCCCTGGAAGGCCAGGCTCTCCAGCGTGGCCTCTCGGACCTGGGGGTCCTGGTGGCCCACTGGGTCCATTGAGGCCCTTAGTTGCTATGCCAGCTGGGCCCGGAAGACCTGGGGTTCCTGGATCCCCTTTAGGTCCAGGGAATCCTGGAATACCTGGTGGCCCAATGGGGCCTCTGGTACCTGGTATTCCAGGAGCACCTCTTGGACCTGCCTCACCGTTGTGTCCAGGCATTCCCTTAACTCCTGATGGGCCCCCAGGGCCTGGGAGACCAGGAGGTCCTTGCACTCCAGGATCACCTTTTGGGCCTGGTAACCCTGGGTTACCCTTAGGACCACTGAGACCTGGTTCTCCCGGGTACCCTGGTTTTCCATCTAAACCAGAGGAACCCCTTTCTCCCTTAGCCCCAGGGTGTCCTGCAGGTCCGACTGGCCCCGTCTCACCTTTAGGGCCTGGAACCCCGTGGTTGCCTGGGATGCCTTTTGGTCCTTGGGGCCCCATATTTCCAGGGGGTCCAGGCAGACCTGGCTCCCCAGGACGGCCTGCTGGACCTTGTTCCCCTTTGGCACCTGGAGCCCCTGGAAGGCCAGCGGGTCCTCTTTGTCCCTTCAGGCCTGGCAAGCCTGGTTTCCCAAAGCCAGGAGGCCCTGGGGGCCCAGCTACTCCCGGAGCCCCAGGGTGACCTTTGGTTCCCGGAACCCCTGGCTGGCCTGGCGCTCCACTGGCTCCTGGCTTTCCAATGCCTTCGGCCCCTCGTTCCCCAGGAGGACCTTGGGGGCCTGGTGGGCCAGCTAGTCCCCTTTCCCCCGGAAAGCCCCGATCACCTTTGATACCTGGCTGTCCTGGAAACCCATTTTCACCTCTTTTTCCCACTCCAGGAGGGCCAGGTGGACCCATGGGACCCTGAGGACCTGGAAGGCCCCTCTCACCTGGGCGGCCAGGAGTACCATATCCAGTTTCCCCTTTCTGTCCATTCACACCAGGGACTCCTGGTGCACCCTTTTCTCCAGGAATGCCTCTGGGCCCAGGGGCTCCTGGGGGTCCCTGTTGTCCAGGTTTTCCTGAAACAGAAATTCCAGCTGGGCCAGGAATTCCAGGTGGTCCTGGGGGACCCCGTGGTCCTGGTAAACCAGCTGGTCCAATATCTCCTTTCGGTCCATATGGTCCTCTCTCCCCTTGTTTTCCGGGTAGTCCTGGCATGCCTGGCTTCCCGGTGCCTGATGGTCCTGGTGGTCCTGGCAACCCTGGCTCTCCTTGGAGTCCAGGACTTCCGTAGCCTGGCTTTCCTGGTGGCCCAGAGGGACCTGGGTGCCCTCGAGGTCCAGTGGGGCCTGGTGGACCAGGAATACCTTGCTCTCCTCTTACTGGTATACCTAAAAGACATGCCCAAAACATACCCAGAGAGGGGGATCGTTAGTAACATTAAGGATAACTATTGCTTCTTGAAATATAAGTCAGGACAGAACATTGCAGTGTTGCAGTGTCAATCAATCCATTTTGGCAAACTAGTCTTAAATGGTTTCAGGCGATACATTTTATACTGTTTTAAATAACATTGCTAGAGAGCCCTGGCTGGTGTGGATCCATGGATCAAGTGCCGGCCTGCAAACCAAAAGGTCACTAGTTCAATTCCCAGTCAGGGCACGTGCCTGGGTTGTGGGCCAGGTCCACAGAGGGGGACACGTGAAAGGCAACCACACATTGATGTTTTTCTCTTGCTCTCTTCCTGTCTCCCCCTCTCTAAAATTAAGTAAATAAAATCTTTAAAAAAAAAACATTGCTAGAGAATATGGTTTCATAAGACGATGGCCAACATAATACTTTTATTACATCCTAATCATCCATGAAAATAAGCTGGAATTGAAGAATTTATCTAGAATAAGAGTATAGTGGAAGCAAATATATTACATTTATTTTAGGAAAATCATCTACCTAGGAAGGAAAGAGAAAAAAAAGTATCTTACAGAAAAGGAAGAAAAAGGCAAGTACAGAATAAATGGGAAAATATTTAAGAACTGTAACAATTTTCCGTTACAAAAGCTATTCTCTAAGTCATAAATGAGCCCTGGCTGGTGTGGCTCAGTGGATTGAGTACCAGCCTGTGAACCAAAGGGTCACTGGTTCAATTCCCAGTCAGGGCACATGAATGCTTTCCTGGCCAGGTCCCCAGTTGGGGGCATGTGATAGCCAACCACATTTCCCTCTCTTCCTCCCTTCCTTCCCTTCTCTCTAAAAATAAGTAAATAAAGTCTTATTTTTTAAAAAAACATATATAAGTGAGAAATGCCCTTAATTCTAATTTACATCAGCCATGGCCCTGCCAAACACAGGTCAGATTTAGGTTGTTTTTTTTTAACTGCAGTGCACACTGAGCTCTTACATTCTCCATTATTGACTTAAAATTGTAAAAAGAATTAGAGAATTAGTCTTAATGGGAGAGATACATAAAATAGTATTAAAGTGCTTACCTCAAGTTTTCCTTGATAAATGCAAATAAATATTGTTGATTTCATAGAGCTATGGGTTTATGTGAGCTAATTACTTCTACTAATATAATAAATTTAAACTCAAGAATCACTTATTCATTGCTTGTTACGCAAAAAGTGCTATTTAGCCTCAAGTGGGGGGCAGCACAGGACGCATCCTGCAAGAGTGTCAGTCATAAAGGGAGCAGGACAAGTGTGCTTGCAGCGAGTGCTTCACGAGATGTCCACAGGCTGTCTGAGTCATTCCAAGGTGGGATAAGCACAGCATTGCTGGCATTAGGATGCACCGTTAGGGAAGTATTACCACGTCAAAGAATCTTTAGGCACTAATCATTACAAGCATCTACAGAAACTCTTCTCAGTAATTCTTTAGCAGTTAAAAAAGATGGTAATAAAATCACATATGATTTTAAGTATCTGGTTGCATAATTTATATTGTAATAATTTTTCTGTTTAACAAATTTTCAGAAACATAAGTAGAATGCCTCCATATACTGTGTAGATTCTTATACTGTTGGAAAATGGTTCGTTGTAATGGTAGACTTAGTAGATGTCACAATAGTGGAATAGTTTGGTCAAAACCCTGAAAATGACTTACAGCTATGACTTTTGAGCCACATCTTTTTTGTACAAAAATGAATAATAAAACTTTTAACTAAATCTATATTGGCTTTAAAAATCAAAATGAATGCTAACTTGTAAATAACTTTAAATGAATTGAAATTATGAATTGAATTAAAAGTTGAAATTATAAATTGCCTTTGAAAACATATTTTTTCTGGGTATAGTTCCCTTTCTTAGTTATTAGTACATTATTATATTTTAAAAATAATTCATACTAATTAACTGGCATGTAAGAAGTAGTCAGCCAACAGTAGTATTATTCTCTTGGGTAGAGATATTCCTGATATTTGAAACACATTTGGTGACAAATGAAATATAAAATATAGAACAAAATCATGAAAATAGATATGCTGAAATAGGAAAATCATTTTGGGCTTGGATATCATTATATTTTGTACTAATTAGAGTTACATTTCATTTTGCAAACACTTAAATATATGAAACTTTATTTACATATGGATTTTCAGAAAAGGGTATCAGGAAAAAAAGACTGAGAAAAATCAATGCGTGGAAAAGATTTCCATAAGTTAACACAAATCTGGTGATTGACTTTAGTGTATGTGTATGATCTATCTATATAAATAGGTGTTGATACATTGCAAATAGAATAGATGAATAAAGGATTTCTTAATGGTTTGGTATAAAATAGAGCACTTTTTAAAATGCAGACTATGTTAGGTTGGGACTTGCTTCAGAATGTTATTTAGATTATGTCTATAGTAAAATAAAATGTCTTACATCTTTTTAGAAGTCTGTTTAACTGTTGAAATAGAAAATAGACAAGTTCAATTGAGAATGACTGCATGAGATGTCATTTGAGACCAGAGCTGTAAGGACAGGGTGATCTCTGCCACTGGGAATGTGGCAAAATACACATACAGTAAGGACATAAATACAGCCATGTGTCCCATGTGTCCTGCATCTCGGTGCAAGAAGGAAGGTGACTTCTGTTATGTCTTTGGGGGACAGCCCCTCTTTGTATTATAACTTGCCATTTGAACACATCCAAGATTTGGGTGGTACGATCCTCAGTGGAAAAAACAGTTGCCCAGCAGAGACATATCTTAAATGCCCACACACTGGAAGAGTGGTTGGTTGTGTCAGAATGTGGCCGCTACACGCCCACCAGCGGTGGAGGCCTCTGCAGCCTAAGTAATGTGCTGTGGCTTAGCCTGTGTTGAACAGACGTGCGCTCTGCATTTCTGTTATCAACATAATGTCTTCCTTGTGTAAATTGTGGGCTTTTGTCTTTATTCAGTGTATGATGCCTGCCAGTGGGTGATAATGTTTGAGTTTCTACCTTGTATATCAAGTAGAGATATTTTTACTCTGCAAAAATAGCCAAGATGATGCAGTAAATTAAGGTGGGAAGATGGAAATATTTTTAACCTCCTAAAAGTAGTGCATTTTATTTTGAATTTCGGACTGTTTCTTGTGATCTTAGTGAACTATAAAAAGTCTGAACTTGTGCCCATAGAGAGTGTAACCCAGGGCTGCTTGCTTGCCATTTCAAAATGCCGTCTGTTGCTCCAAGTAGCAGGCCTCTTTATTTATCTTTTATTCTTTCTTCCCTAACTTACCTCCTTTTCTTATTTTTACTTTGAGACATTTAGCAGTGTCTATTGTGCACCTGTGCCTTTGTTTTTAAACATTAAGCTACCTTTTATGAAATATTTTAAATTTCAACTTGCTTCTTAAAAAGACAACCCTATAAGTTTAATTTGCTCAAAATTGTTGTTTCCAAAAACATAATTTTTAAAGTGAATGGCAAATATCCTTAGCTTTATTTACAGGATAAAATATATAACTATAATGAGAAAATTCTGTGGGAAGAAAATTTGAACCCTACAGTCAGTTCAGATTATTCATTCCGTTTAATTCAGCAGCTGCTTTCCAGGCACTGTGTGTCAGATGTTATTGTATTAAATGGAATTAGTGAGTATGAACCCTAGTCGTTGCTCTTCTTTAAGGATCTGTTAGCACTTAAATGTCTTCTCAGGACTCTTACAAGAGCTGAGAAAGCTGAACAGATGAGGAATAGGTTGAAGAAAGTTAAAACAATCTAAGGCTCCACCACCTGTACTGTGACAGAGGGAGGGGGAGCAGGAGGGGTAGTAATAGCTAGCATTTAAGCACTTTACAGACATTAACTAATTTACACATCATAAGAACCCTTTGAAATAGCTTCTCCTCCTTTTGCAAAAGAGGAAACTAAGGCACAAAGAGGATGAATAACTTACTTGGTCACATGCCACTAAACTATACAAAAATGTATAAAAAATTATGAAAATCACTGCTTCATTTGTCTATTAAATTTCTGAGGGCAACAGATTTTCTTTGATTATTATGACCCCTTTTGTATATATGTTTGAGAGCTGGTAGAATGGGTTTTAAAAGTAAATATGTTTAAGTATTTAGAAATATAAACTTGCTACTTTTTTGTGCTCTTGTCAGCTATTTTAGTTACACCTTTTTCAACTTGATTAGTTTTGATTAAATTCATACTCCTAGATTATGAATACTTTATGCAACAAACATCATTTGAGGGCAAAAATTTCCACACATAAAAAAATTCAGGTATATTTTTCTACTATTCTTATTGTGCAAAGAATATTAATGTTCTTGAATAGACCTACTTTTTCCATAAATCATTTTGAGCTAATTCCAGAGTTTGAAAATAATTTAAAACCAACAGAGTTAATAGCATTTTGTTAAGGAGATCATTAAGATTGTAAAAAGCAACAGCCAACTAGTTAATTGAGCAATATACACTGTTCAGTTTACCTTTACTCTTTATGGCATAGGGAATGAAGAACTGTGTCTTGGTGTTGGCTAGTGGGCCTTTTACACCCGTAGGTGTTTGGTATCTCTCAGCATAAAAAGCTCCATGAACCAAGTTCAAGGACATTAGCAACAAAAGGGCTATTTCTGGCATGTTCGCAGATGTATTCTGAAAAATAGAAAAGAATAATTTTATTCAACTTTGTTATTGACCTATTTTATTTTTCTAATATTGTGCAAGTGAATTCCTTATACACTTAACCTACTTTTTATTTTATGCTATATATTTTTAATATATTTTTTACTTAATGAGTTATTATTTTTAGTTATATGAATATATGCCTTAGGAAACCACATTTAAGTAATCAAGTAAAAATAAAGTTAAAAAAACAGTGATTGAATGTCTCTCTTAAATAATCCAGGATCTTTGACATAGACAGAAACATCCAGTAGTTTCAGAATACACTGAAATTTAGATTAGGGCATCTTTTTGCAAATCAAGTTTATTACAACTATCTTTTATAGAGACTGGAACAAATTAAACTGTGCATTTTAGTGGAATCACAAAATCCAAGCAGTTAATTTATGGCAGCTTGTTTCCAAGCAAGCTGACATGGAGGCCCACCGGTGAGCATTGAGTTACAGACTTACCTGAGTGGTGGGACTTCTGGAGATGGTTTCCTGGCAGCTTTCTGAGCCCTCCTGTACTCAGGTGAGCAGTGCAGAAGATGCTCCCTCCAGGCTGTCCTGAAGTATTTATACTCTTTTCCTCCTACTACATGAGGTCACCCTGAGCTTCAGCTCCTCCCCCAGAGGTGGAAAGCACTAATTATGGTGGAAAGTTCTATTGGGCAGACATACAAGATCAAGTTGGGCTGTCTTTTTCCTTGTTTTCTTATTGAAAAAGAAACTCTTTGTCTTAAATATATATTAATAGTTTTAACCGTACACCATCTTTTTCTGTGATTTTATTTTAGAAGTTATTACTCAGATGTTTAGGTTTGTTCATGATGGGATGATACTACCCCCTTTATATTTTTGTGAAACACATTCTTGTGTTGTTTGGTTGAAAATATTTGGTAGTATATAAGGTAAGAGAAGAAGTCTTTTGGAGGGGAGTGTGAATTTAGACCAGCATCTGAATTCTTCAGTTGTTACATAAAGCCATCACTGTACCCATTGATGTTCCTGAATTTTTATGAAAATAGCTTACCCCAATTCTTACTTATTTTTAGGCTTGAGAGTAACATAGTGGTGAAAATGTAGGTATGCTGTTTTGTATTTCAGGATTTTAGTGTAAGTCTTCAGAAGTTTTTAAGAGAAATTTTAAATATGATAGCCTGAATAGTTCAAGTTTTACATATTAAATATTTGAAATTTTTCAGACAGGGGCAAGACATCCATGAATTTGATAGTAGAATTAACAGTATAATTGCCCTGAAGGATTTAGTTTAATCACAGCACTATGTTCAGGAAATGACTTCAGATTTAATTGCTTAATTTTGGATTTTACTTTAGACTTGCAGTAGAGATTGCAAAAACTCTGAACTTGATAATGTCCTATCATGTCTATTGAAATAAGGTTGCTGTATTCATTGCAGAAGGAAAAAATTCTTTAAACTCTGTTTTCAGCTTTATAAAAATATCATTGGCTTATGTTTTAATTTCTGTCAGGGATCTTGAATCAGCCCAATTAGAAGGAGGTTTTTGTTTTGCTTTGTTTTGTTTGTTTGTTTTTGTAAATGTGGCAGTCAACATTATCATTGTCATTTTAAGTAATTGGTATTCCCTTTAGCAATTAGAAGACTCTTAAAATCAGTTTTAGGGATCCCAAAGAATGTAATGAAGATAGAAAGCTAAAGTTTGTATCTTATTTAATTGCACCCTATTGGAGCTAAATCAGATCAACTGTACAGGTGAAGTAGGTGAGAAGGGGCATTTCATGCATAGACATAGATACATCTTAAAAAAAAAATCTCTGTAGCAATAAAGTGATAGGGATTCAGGATTGGTCAGCAATGGAAATAATTGAACGTTTGACCAGTGGACAGAATAAAGGTTTGTTCTTAGTCTTCCCTTCCATCTCCCCTGTGTTCAGTCTTCTGCATGTGTTTTAAACAAAGTCTGGGTAGCACCTTGTAGAAATGTAAATGGTAATTCATCTCACTGCCTCCCTCTCTCTTGTCACTTTTCAACCTTTTATTGGTTACCGTATTAAACACCCACATTATCATATGTCTCTGTAATACTTATTGATACTTATTGATACACGTGAAATGTGGCTGTATATCAATTCAGATTAAGAGGAGAATTGGAAGGTTGATACTCCAGTCATCTTTCATCATTTGGAAATAATCTGTGGAAGCTTTTGTGAGGATTATATGTGCTCTTCATTGTCTGGAAGAGAGCACAGAAGGTAAGTGAGAGAAAGCAGCCGCCTTCCATCTGCTTTTGGTTCACTTGGGCAAGATTTTGAAAAAGTCAGTGAGGTAACGTTGTGGATGCTTTTGAATGCTAGGCTGAAGAATTTGTTTTGAAAGGTGTAATTGGAAGTACATATTCTAATATTTTTTGCATGTCTATAGGGTTATACTCACACATGTATTTGCTTATGATTGAGATGGACATGCTCTAGGTACCATTCATGTGAAAGGTCAGGAGATTCCTTCTCAGCTCTTTGTACCTAGCATTATGCACCTGCATAGACTCCTTGTCCATCTGTGGCTGCTGTAACTATTTTCAGAGCTTTGCACCATAATCTCTCTAGATGCCTGTGTTTTCATCAACACAGTGAAAGGCTGGACTAGGTTTTTAAGCTCCTCCCAGCTTAAAAGTTTATTCCTGTGCTTGAGGTATTCTGCTCTTCCCTGTGGTCAGACACAGTGGGCTTGGCTCCATTTAGCACTTAGAGACAAAATCCATACCAGGTGGTCAGATGCCTTCTTTGGGGGACATGTAAATATATGTGGGTATTTGTCATTCTATATTCCCCTTTAACTTTGGAAAATGTGGTGTCTTTATTGAATAAGCTTCAGATGTTCAACCCTTTTTGCAAATATTGGACTTATTTCAGCACAGGGAATCTGACTTCTGTTTGCTTTGTTAGTCACATAAGAAGCAATGTCTTGTCCAAAACAGATTGTAGAATCAGAATATTTTTTAGCCACACCCCACCCAATTGTGTATTTAAAACTATTTTTATCCTGGGAGTTTACTTGTAGCTGTTTGAAGTGACTAGGCTGTGGCTTTAAGATAAAAAACCCATTCCACTTAAAAACAGAGAGCCTGCTCTTTAGACTTGGTAACCTAAGTGATTTTTTAATATCAAAGATGAATGATGTTTTTACACACCTAACATTTAGCTGCTGTTAAGCTTGCCTATTTATTTTCACTTCCCAAGGTCATTCATTAATTCACCAAATATCACTGGAGTAGCACTTATGTGTCAGGCGCGAGATAGAAACTAGATGAAAAATGGATAGCCTTTACAGTGTTTGAACAGTGGTTCTCAACTTCTTTCCCTACACACACAGTCCTGAGGGATATGACAGAATTTCTTCAATCTTTGAGGTTAAGATAGAGCTGCTTCAGAGACTCTGTTTTGAAGAAGTTCTTCAGGAGCTCATGATGGATTCCTAAGTTGGAATATGTGAGTCTGATCTCAGTGTTCTGTTCTCATGGCAGCGTATTACTATTAGCTACATAATTTTTGTTGTTTTGTTCATATGGTTTCTGACTCTATTACAGAGAATCTGTGTTACATAGAAGTAGAGAGAATAGTTACAATGCATGCCTGTGAGCCCCCTCCAGAGCCAGGTTCAAGCAACCAAGGTCAAGACCGCTGGCTCACAAAACACCTGAACATTTCCCAAGGAACAGTACAAGCCAGCTCTGGGGAACATGCAGAGAAGTCTGGCTTCTGTTACTGCCGTATCCACCCTGTATTTTACCTCCTTCTAAAAGTAACATTTTTAAAAACAATTTTTAGATCTATCCCATTATTTAGAAATAGATTATATATTTAAATATGTATATTCATTCATATCCCTTTCCAGTTTCTTAGCTAAATGTCATCATAATATACGTACTTTTAGTTCTGCTTCTTTTTATGTAACCGTTGATCTTGGAGATCATTATGTAAGGATGGTCCACATTTCTTTTCTTTTTTTTAAAGATTTTATTTATTTATTTTTAGACAGAGGAGAAGGGAGGGAAAAAGAAGGAGAGAGACACATTAATGCGTGATCGCCTGTTGAGTGCCCCCTAATGGGACCTGGACCTCAACCCAGGCATGTGCCCTGACTGGGAATTGAACCAGTGACTCTTTGCTTCACAGTCCATGACTCAGTCCACTGAGCCCCACCAGCCAGGGCTCCACATTTCTTTATACAGCTACATAGTACTCCACTGTATCACTGTGCCACAGTTTTTTTTTTTCAACCTTTTTCTCTGTTGGTGATCATCTGTATTATATCCTGTCTTTTGCTAATACAAATACTACTACAGTGAATAACTTTGTATGTGTATATATTTTTGCCTGAATGTCTTTGAGAGAGATTCTTACAACTTGGAATCCTCAGTTAAAGATAAATGCGTGTGTAACTTTGTTATATGTCATTAAATTCACCCCCACAGGCGTTGTCTTATTTTGCATTTCTACTAGTATTGCGTGACAGTGTCTGTTCCTCTGCAGTCTCCCCAGTTGGCTATGTTGTTAGATTTTTGCCCATTTTTGAGGTAAAAATTGGAATTGTGATCTAGTTATAATTTCATTCTTCTTGCTAAGCATGTGGTAGAGCACCTTCTCATAGAGCTCAGACCATATTTCTAGTCCACTTTTCTTATGCATTCTATATCTTAGGAATATGAACCTCTTTTCTGTGAGAGTCTATATATTTTTCCCAGTTTGTCATTTGTCTTTTTAGTTTGCTTATAAGGTTTTTTTTAAATGCAACATTCTCCAGTAAGATACATAAATTCTTGGTTCAGAATATTATTGTTCTTTTATAGACTCAGAGCTGTAAGGGACATTAAAGGTCACTTAGATGAATCATTTCATTCTTCAGATGAGGAAACTAGTTTCTCTGTTAGGAATGTCTCATTCCCTAATGTTTAATCAAGTAAAACTTCTCAAGTGAAGAGCTGTTGGTGAGAGAGCTCAAGGAGGGA